GAGGCTGAGGCAGGAGGATCAAAAGTTCCATCAGCCTCATCAATGAGTGAAACCCTGTCTCTAAATAAAATTAAAACTAGGGCTGAGGATGTGGCTTTGTGGCCAATGCCCCTGAGTTCAATCCCTGGTAGCCRACCCCACCCCCACCCTACCAAAAAAAAGTGGGGGGGTGTAGGTCAGTTGTAGAGCACTTGCCAGCATKTGCAGGTCCTCCTGGGTTTACTCTACAGCACTGCAAAAGGAAGCAAGGCAGGTAGGCAGGCTGCCCACATTTCCTTTTGGCTGAGACTCTGATACAATATCTACATGAAAGATTCCCACTTTCTATTTCTGTGCCTTCTCTCCCCCACCCATCCCAAAGGCCCTTCTTCCTCCCCAGTTCTTCTCCTGAGCCAGGCAAGAGAGACTCAGGACTTTCTCAGAGTTGTCCTATCAACCCAGTTGGGAACCAAAGATTGAAGGCTTAACTTTCTTCAGGACAGTACAAAGTGCTGCACTCAAAGAGGAAAACCTAATGGTTCCTACACTTACTTGTCATTCTCACAACCTGAGACAGTCTGTTATTCCCTGGTAGATTCATGCATTGAGCCTCGTTTCCTCCATTAGACTGTAAGTGACATGAGTGTCAGTCATACCCTGAATTTCTTTATAGTACAGCACTGAAGGCAGAGAATGTCTACTCAATAAGACAGCATTTTCTGGTTCATAAGTCCTAATTCCTATGACATAGAGTAACTCCTGTCTTTAATAATAACTGAAAATAATAATAATTGAGTTGGGGGTTAGCTCACTTCTAGAGTGCTTGCTTTGCATGTTCAAAGCCCTCAATTCCAGAACCATGAAAATATTTGTAACAATAATAATAGTAATGATCTTTGTAATGCTAACTGAAAAGTATGTACCAGGCATTGTTTAAAGCTTATTTATACAGTAAGTCTTCTTAAGGGCTCTCTGAGGTGGTTACCTGCTTCATTTCACAAATAAGGAAACTGAAGCACAGAGTAGCTAAGTAATTTGTCCAAGGTCACATGGCTAGAAAGTGTTAAGAGACAGAAGTCTGGGAAGTCTGACTAAAGGACCACTGCACATCCTGCCTCATGTAAGTTCTAAATTTCAATTTCAGGTTTTCCTCCTGAGAAGTACCACTATTAATCTCTTAGAATTATATAAAATAGTGCCTTTCATACATGTTTTTCTCATAACCCATACTAAAAAAATTTGTTTTATATCCTAGTATGCACAGGCATTCATGAGGGCCTTAACTAAAATTATTAATACTTGCTATTCTACTTGAACCAATTATAATTAATTTTTTAAATGCTAATTGTATGGTACTAAATGGATTTTAGGTTTCAAATTGTCATTACCTTCAATTTGAAAACTGTTAAGAGATGGGGTTGTATTTTGCAATGCTAGAGAGGGAACCCAGGACCGCATAAATGCTAGGCAAGTGCTCTACCACTGAAGTAAACCCCAGCCCCAAAATTCTAAAGAAGTGATAATGCAGTTTTCTGGCCTCCCCTGCAGAGATGAAGTAATCAAGGTTATTATCCTCTGGGAGCTACAATCCACTGGCAGGATTCTCTTCTTTAAAAAATGTTCATATTGATACATAAAAAATGTACATGTTTATGGGGTGCCATGTGAATGTTGAAGAGACCAGTTCCTCAGAGATCAGTTCCYAAGAGTACATGAAACATCTGAAAACCCTGTGAGAACTGAGCAGGAGGTGATGACAATAATGGTATCATTTGTGAGTCCTCTATGCTGTTCCAAGCACCCATGTAATCCTCCAGAACATCAGGAGGCTGATACCATCATCTTCACCATACAGATGAGGAGACTGACACCCAAGAGGTGAAGTTACATGCCCAGGGTCACCCATCTAGGAAAAAGGCAGAGTTGGAATCCAGATGAGATCTGCCTGGCATCAGAGTCTGATCACTTCTCACCCCATTCTACTTATGCATTAAGTACTGGGGAGCAGGAGGTAAACCAATGAAGGGCTATAGGGAAGGCAAGGCAGTGAAGGGGGTAAGAGAAAGGCAGAAAATGTCTAGAAAGGAATGTTGGCACCAGGACAGCAAACCACTGAGGGTCACAGCTTCTTCTAGAAGCTGTGAAGATTTCTGAACAGACTCTAATGTGATCACATTGTGATGCAGAAAAATAAACCTGGAAAATTACCTGAGAGACAAAGATCACCACTTAGTGAACAACTAGACCACCTGACCAGTCACTATGCTTACACGGTTGTTTGGCAAAAAAAAAAAAAAAAAAAAAAAGGAGAACCTCTGCACTTGGCCTTCATTTATTGACTTTCCATAAAACCAGGGGAGGAAAAAAAACTGGCATATACCACAAATTGGCAATTTGACATATACTGAAATTTGATAAGTGTCCCAGCACATGAAAAAGCCACTGGTCCTGTTGAATTTGTTCAATAACTACAAACACAGTTCGTTTGTACTGAGCATATACAGGTGGTTTATAAAAGGATGAGATCTTTCTTACTGGACAAAGGCAAGAATTATAAAGAAATATTTATCAAAGGGGATTTATTTTCAGGTGATGTCAAGATTGCTATTTGTCTGTTTATGTTTATACTAAAATTAAGGGGCTAATTGTCTTTCTGACACTCTGCTACAACACTTTAATGTTTCATGTTTGAGCCTACTAAATAAAACACAATGGTGAGAATTTTAAAAGGATGCTGTTTTCACAATACTTTGCAGCAGAAGATGGAATGTGTTTCTTAGAATTCATTGGTTTTTTTAAATTTTATTATTCCCATTGGAATGAGAGAAACAGTAATGAAAATCAAGAAGTGATTTTTGTTCACAGGAAACCCCATTAGATGTTTCCTTTGCAAATTTGGAGAGAGCAGCAATCCTGCTTTCTAAAGCAATTGCTTAAATGTTAGAAATGTAACCACTGGGCTGCATGTGTATACTGGAGAAGCAAGCCATTCCCATTTGGAAGTCAGTGTGTGGTAATGAAAAGATCCAGCAATGTGAAGGAGAAGCCCAGGATCCCAGGCCTACCTCTGCTGCTAGCCAGGGTGACTGGAGCAGCCGCCAAACACTCTGGACCCTATTTCCTTATTTGTAAAGTAGAAAAGTTGAAGTCCATTTTCTCTAACATATTTCTATCCCTAACATTTGTTCTGCAGTCCTTCCCTTAATCGTGGCTCCAACATAAAGACACAAGGTCTAAGTAAGGTGAGGCCAGCCTCACACAGCTTGAGATTGTGGAAAGGCTCTATTTAGCCATAGCGAGGGTATTCATCAGAAGGGCAGAAAGCTAGGCATTGTGGCACATGCAGGTAATCCGAGCTACTCAAAGGCCTGAGGCAGGAGGATCCCAAGTTTGAGGACAGGCTGGGCAACTTAGCAGGATCCTATCTCAAAATAAAATAAAATAAAAAGGGCAGAGAATGTAGCTCAGCAGTAGAGTTCTTGCCTAGCGTGTGCAAGGCTGTGGTTCCATTTCTAGAAAAAAAAAATAGCAGTAGCAGGATGATCTGAGCTGACCCTTACTTAATCAGAAGGGGTTTGAGCCCAGCCATTCCACTCCAGCTGAATACCAACAGTATCTGCCTAGGAAGATTGCTGTAACCACTACATGGCTTACTCATTAATGGTGCCTGGCACAAAGTAGCACTCAATAAATACATTAGCTCATTTTCCTACTAAAAGGCTAAGTGCTTTGTATGTTTTATCTCATACATAGTAAGCCCATGAGGTGGGTTCCGTTATCCTTATTTTAAAGATTAGGGAACTAGAGATCCAGGGCATATACCAAACACAAGCAGCCTAAAGCCAAATACTTGTCTTTTGTCCACTGCAATCTTCACCTTCTCCGAAGCCAGATGGATGCTTTTCTTAGTGTCTGTGGAGCACAGGCTCAGCCAGGAAAAGGAAGGCATTTTACTGCGGACATTTTTCTACCCAGGAATCCCAATAGCTGAAGACCAAACATTATCAAGATCATGCATGTTTCTTAAACAAGGTCACAATGTCAGTTGAGGTCTACTTTTCATTCTTTATCACTTCTTTCTACCTACCTGTTCTCTTTTTCAACTTTGTAACAGAAGAATGAAGGTAATCAATGACTAGGATGTGCTTCAAAAAGCTAAAGTGCTACAATCGTTACCTCTACCTTAAAAAAATCTACCATGTCCATGTGGGTATTAAACTGAGCCTTTAAAAAAAAAAAAAGAAAGATAAATGAAAGGATAATGATTTTTTATTACAGATTCTTTCTAAAAAGATTTGCTATCAAGCTCTTCAAAGAAGCAAATTCCCCTGTTTCATTTATTTATTTGTTTGTTTGTTTGTTTATTTATTTATTTATTGCTTTAAAACTTTTAGGAGCTCCTGTGTTGTTTCTGGATTTTCTCTGTAGCTCCATTCTGAGAATCACTTTATAAATCAGATGTGAGACTCTCAATAAAGTAGGCATCTCCTAGATTATTGGTTTTTCATTATATTATTTCCAACTATGCCTCACAATAGGCTTCCCCAAAATGATATAAAAGTAAATAATTGCTTAAATCTTATTGAAATTCTCAAAGATTGGGGATTAACCACTGTTGCAACCACTCTAAAACAAAATCTGGGCCCAATAAATTGGAAAGGAGGTGTGTTGGATACAGTAGTGTCCAGTGAGAAACAGACCTCAGAACCCAAAGGGTTGACCTTAGCCCAGTGCTGCTGACATGTGATTAGAAGCCTTCCACAGGCTTCACCAGAATCCTCACTGTGGACCTGGAAATGGAGCTTTTGTGAACTGACAGTTCCTTCACAAGAGCAGTTTTCTGGCAGAAATAACAGGCCACAGAGTCATTCAGCAAAGCTATGCAGGGTATAACCTTGGATAGGGGTCCACCTACTCTTTTGTTATCTTTATCAAAATCATATTCAATTAAAAGAGACTGAATTAGGTCTGCAGGTTAACTCAAGATAAAATATGTGCTTTGCATGCATGAGGCCCTGGATTCAAGCCCTAAAACCACACACACACACACACACACACACACACACACACACCCTTTTAAAAATAAATGAAATTGGGTGCATTGTATGTTAACAATATCCACTGTTGGACAAAGGCAAAAGCAATAACATGGCATTGATACATGGGAGCTTGGGAGCAGGCAGCATTATTATGGGTTCAACCAGAGCAAAGATGAATCATTAGCAACTAGTTCCTCCTTCAGAATCAATGCAGTGATTAGGCAAGAGAGTAGGGTCATAGTCTGTACAGGTAACTGGCCTACTTTTGAACACACTATTGCCTTATTCAAAGTCAAACACAAATGAAGAGCACAGCACAGTCCACATGTACCAATGAAAAGGATTTCAAAGTGGCTCAAAGTCAATCTTACCTCTGATATTCAGGGCTTCAGACTTCTTCTCCTTTTTCATAGTCTCTTCAGGCTCATTCTGGGTGTTCAAGGAATCACCTGCATTCAAAGAAGAAACCTTGTGTTGTGTATAAGTTCTACAAACAAAAAAAACCAATGGACTCAAATTTGTGTTATTTTACATTCCTAATAGCATATGGGAGCCCCTACCTCTGCATACACATAGCCCAGAACAGTACATTTGGGCTCTGAAAGAGCCCGTGATCTACCTTTGGACTTCATTCCCACTTCCTTTCATGTTAAAACAAAAAAGGGAGCAAGTAGGAGCCTACCCCCAACCCCCAAAACCCATAACACCTAAGAGACAGAAGATGGGCAAAGGGGGAGGAAAAAACAAAGTTCAGACACAACCAATGAAGGGGACACGGGACCAAGAGAGCTATCTGTTGCCCAATAATAAGACCTGATGTCCAAGAAAATCAATACTTCCACATACAGAGAATGCAAAGAAGGAAAAACAGGATAAAGGCCAAAAGATCCAGCAGCGAAAAAATAGTGGAAAATGTTAAGTTAGGATAAGTAAGAGGATTACAAAAAATGATTTTTAAAAAATCAGAGGAAAAAAAAAAGAGGGCGTGGGACAAGGAGGTAGGGACAAGGAGGTAGGGACCAGGCGGGAGGAAAGGGGAGGAGGAAAGAGGAAGGAGGGAAGGGCAAAACGGTCCAAAGGATGCAACTGAAAGGCACCTGCTACGTTTGAGAATACGGTCGCCCCCTTCTGCTTTCTTTCGATCGAAGCCCCCCGGAGGGTCACAGCTGAGTCCAAGCCGGGGGCCGTCGGGGTCGCAGCATGCTGCTGGCCCTCGGCGTCTTGGGGTCCCCCAAAAGCGCCGGGAGGATCGCCAAGAGCCTGCTCCTGCCGCTGCTGCAGGCGGCGACGGTGGCCCCGGCAGCAGCAGGTGAACCAGGTGGCGCAGTCCTGGAAGATGAGCAACCCCACCACGTTGACGGCCAGCCCCAGGGCGCCAACGATGAGCACCAGCTCTGGGTCATCGATGCGCTCGGGCCGGGCCAGGCGCAGCACCGCCTCCACGAAGATGGTGAAGCAGAGCGCGGTGAGGAAGACCGCGTTGCTCAGCGCGCCCACCACCTCGGCGCGCGCGTAGCCGTAGGTGGCGCGGAAGCCTCGGGTGGGGCGCCGGGCGATGTAGCCGGAGGTCAGGCCCACGCACAGCGAGATCAGGTCCGAGAGCATGTTGAAGGAGTCCGAGAGCAGCGCGATGGAGTTGCCCAGGTATCCCGAGACCAGCTCGGCCACGAAGAAGACGACGGTGAGCACGAGCATGAAGAGCAGCCGGCACGTCTTGCCCGAATAGCGGCCCATCTTTGCAGCCTGACCACCTACTAGCCCAGCCAGCAGCGCCCGAGCCACCGCAGACCCGGCCTCCGCAACAGGTGGGGGCGAGGCGCGGCCGCCCGGACTCCGCTGAGGCCTGGTACCCGCCTCCCGGGTGCCAGGCCCGCCCTGCCCTGACGCTTTTTATAAGGCAGAGGCAGAGCGCCCCCGGTCCACGCACGTCCAGAGTCTAAAGGAGTGGCAGCGGCAGCGGTGTCTGAAGAGCCTTACGCCACCTCCGGGGCCCCTGCCCTCTCCTCCCTCGCGGCCTGGGCCTGACTTGGCAGGTGGCCACCAGCCACTGTGCTTCCTTCTGGGACCGAGCGGTGCAGAGAGGGGAGCTGCCGAGAGGAGGGGGTTGTGTCCGAATGTCAATCTTCACAGACCGCTCCTCCCCCTGCAGAGGTGGGATTCACCCATCACCTGCTTCTCCAGGCCCTCCCGCCAATATTCTGCTGAGTCTTAATGATAAGGACCTTGACTGCTGTGGGTGTGCTCACTGTGGTGGACGTGGACACCCCTGCCTACGTGCCCAGAAGCTGGTTGCAGAACAGATTCCATATTAAGCAGTAGTGAGGCCGAAGAGCACTAGCTTGGGCCAACCCTGCCTTTAAGGGTGCTTCCTGCTTCCATTATTGTTAAACGTGAGCTCATCCCTCACTCAGTACCCATCCCCACCCCGTTCCATTACCACCCGTGGAAAAGCTATTTTATCCTCTCCTCTTCCTCAAAGCCTTCATAAAGGCATCAGGATCCCCCCTTCCTCCCTCCCTCTCTTTCTCTCTCCCTCCCTACCTCCTTCTCTCTCTCTCTCTCTCTCTCTCTCTCTCTCTCTCTCTCTCTCTCTCCCTCTGGGTTCCCTTTGGGATCTTCACTTTATCTCTCCTGCCAGAGAGCCAAAGGCCTTCCTCAGGAGAACCCCATCACGGTTTAGTAACATGGCACTCCCACCCAACACTCAAAGACTGGTCTACTCAGTGATAGATAGAAGTCCACTGGTCACCACTGTGTGTTTTTCTCATTCCCCATTGAARAGAATATTTGACTAACCCCATTTGTCCCTGACACTATGACCTGATAACTCTCAGTTCAATCCCCTGACCTACATGGTTTCATCCAAATAAAGATTCTCCAGTTAGCAACAGGCCCTGTTCCAAGTAAAAGTTATCCCAACTGAAACCATTTCCAGGACTCTGAAAGAGACTGAGGAACAGACTCTTGAGGAAGGGTGTTTGCCATTGGTCAGTTCAGAGAGTGAATGGGGAGCCCTGCAGGAATTTCATTTGTTTATTATTTGTTTTAGTCTTATCTCATTTCACAAAGGATTCAACTGTGAAGTCTGGTCATCTCTGTTCTCTCTCACCTCCCCCATTCCCAACCCCTGAATTGTAATCATTCCTGAAAACTAACTCACTCTCTCTCTCTCTCTCTCTCTCTCTCTCTCTCTCCCCTACTTTCTCTCTCTCTCTCTCCTACTCTCTCTCTTTCTCTTTCTCTCTCTCTCTCTCTCTCTCTCTCTCTCTCACACACACACACACACACACACACACACACACACACACACTTGTTTTTGGCTTGGAAATCAATAAAAATGTCTCACTCAAAAAATAAAGAAGCCACAAACTCAGAGCAGTGGTGCTCCTGTAGTCCCTGCTACTGGGAGGCTGAGGCATGAGGATCACTTGAACCTAAGAATTCAAGACCATCCTGAGAAACATAGGGAAAAACTGACCCCCCCAAAAAAGTCCAGCATCCATTAGCAGAATATTCTAACTTCTAGCCCTATTCATTGTCTTAATTTTACAAAGTATAAAACTGTGTTTTAATGATCTCAGAGGGTTCCTGACAATTGAGCTAAAGCAATCTTGATAGGAGGGTCCTACTTTATACTAGATGAGCCTCCAAACTTAGAAAGCTTAATAAACATTTTCTTTCCACCTCCAGGAAAATATCCCCATGCAGAACTTGAAGAAATTGATCACTTTATGTTCTAAAAATTAATATAAAATAATGAATAATGTGGAAGAATTAAAAAAATTTTGATTGATGAAAGGCTTGATGCTGTATAGTCTTGGAAAAGTTCCTTAATCAGTCAGGCCTACTTTTTCATTACTATAAAATGGGAATGATAATATAGTGAGTATTAAATGAGTTAATATATAAGGAATGGTTTAACCATGCCTGGTAAATAGTAAGCACTCAAATAAATGTTAACTACTGTTACCATTAGTGTTCCTGTTAGCACTACAGCATGTGTGTAATAGAATGAACAACAGATGACACTCTCTAATACACAAAAGAGATCTATCTGAGTACCACAGCCTTCCCAGTTTTTGGTTTACACTGTCTTCAAACTGTGCAGTCACTAAAATGTTTAATATGGCAGCAAGGAAAGCAGTCCAAAAAAGTGTGATACCTTCTGTAACTCATCTGACAAAGCTGAAGTAGCCCTTGCTAATTGCATTTCTTTGTCATTCACAACTGAAAGGAAAACCCAAAGTCAGCAGAACTATATCACTCATGCCTATTGCCTAGTCATTCCCCTAACGGAAGGCAGATGACCAGAAAGTGTCACTGCCCCAGGAGTGCAGTCAATGGAACTAGAACACCAGAGCCAATGTCTGATGCCCCTGTCCAGGACCCAGTTCCTGACCTTAAGAAAGGACAAATGTTCCAAATACTGTCAACAAAATGCACTATAGTAAAATATTTTCACTTACATATGTGTGTGTGTGTGTGTGTGTGTGTGTGTACAATATACGTTAGTTAACAGATATTTAGACTGCACTTCATTCTTCACAGTAATTTAGGAGGTTTCAACCAGCTTTTGTTTATTGAACTCTTATTTAGCCCAGCCCTATGCTGAGCACTTTACAGACATTATCTCATTTCATTCTCACACTAGCCCCCAGAAAATCTTTTAATATTTATTATTTAATATTTTATTATAAACTATTCTACAGATGAATCACCTGAAGCCCAAAGATTCTTAAGTAATTTGGCCAAAATCACACCATCTTCCCTGGTGGGGAGAGCACTGCAGGCAGAGGCAAAGCATGTACAATGAATGGCTCTGTGGTAGGAGACACATGAAGGAGCCAGATGAAGGCCTGTGACAGTGAAGATGGGTGACAGTGCCGGAAAGTRACGTGAGATGGGGTCAGAGAGGCAGCAGGTCCAGATGTAAGGTGTTCACTGAAAGAGATGAAAAACTWTCAAAGTATTTTAAGCAAAAGGCTGGCAAGATTCGATTGTGGGTCTGTTATGATTTAGATCTGAGGTGTCCCTCTTTTAAAAGCTCATGTGTGAGACAATGCAAGACAGTTTAGAGATGAAATGATTGAGTTATYCCTGAAATAGAGATTAACTTGGTGGGGGGTGGCTGGAGGAGGTGGGTTGGTTTCTGGGGACATACCCTTGGAGTTTATATTTTGTCCTCTCTCTCTGCTTCCTAATAYCATGTCCCCAGCTGCTTTCCTCTGCCATACACTTCTGCAATGATGTTCTGCTTTATTTCAGGCCCTGAGAATGGAGTCAGCCATCTATGGACTGGAGACCTATGAAACTATGAGCCCCAACTACATTTTTCCTCTTCTAATTGTTCTTGTCGGGTCTTTATGGTCAGTGTGGCAGAAAAGCTGACAAAGGCAGGATCTTTGTTCTTCACATACAGTAAAATATCTCTACTGTAAGTATACAATTRAGCCGATTGGACAAATGAATGGAACTTCCATAAAAATTAAGATACAAATGTTTCCATCACCCCAGAGGTTGGTTCTCTCATGCCCTTTTCCAGTCACAGTGATGCACCCCCAACCTCAAGGAGTTTTCTATCACTATATCTATTGTTACTGCCCAAATCAAAAAAAACAAAATATTATAGTATGTTTAAAAATTCACACAATCTATAAATGACTGACATGAGATCTGATCTAGCCATCAAACTCTAGAGTTTATATTTTTCATCTTYACCTTACACTAATTTGATCATCTTTAGTGGGGTTTTTCCCCCTAAACAAATGAAAGGATTTTCAACTTTGCTTTTTGTTGAAGCAAAATTTGATGCAACACAATTAATAAATACAGAGATTATGACATTGAAAGTTTTGATGCTGTGTAGTCTTGGGCTTTTTATACTGGCATTCAACCCAGAAATTAACACCCTTGTTTATTTATTTTTTAATAACTGAAGAAGCAAGCATTTGTTTTCATTTTTGAACTCTTCTAGAGCTGACGTTCTATTCAGGGGAGAGAATGCACATCTTGTCCAAAGCACCAATTTCTTACTCAGAAAAAAAGGAAGCTTTTTCCCTATAGCAACAGCCTCCGGGTTTTAAATACATTGCGAAGGGATRGACATTTCTCCAAATATTCATAGCACAGATGTGATGACTTTGCAAAAGGAAATTCCTTCTCTGAGTACTTGAGGAATCTTGTGTATAAAGTCAGTTCTTCCTTGGTGAAATTTTACGGTCTATATTGAAACACKTTGGCTGTACAAAGATACATATCGGGGGCTGAGGTTATAGCTCAGAGGTAGACAGGTTGCCTAGCATGTATGAGGCAGTGGGTTCAATTCTCAGCACCACATATAAACAAATAAAGTAAAGGTCCATTAACAACTAAAAAACAAGAACTTATCAGTATTCCAAAAGTATGCATTTATAACCCTCAATTTTTCAGGATACAATAAATTTAAGAGACTTGGTATACCTTTTTTCTTGCTTTTATTTTTTAATGATAGAAGCATAAAATATGAACACAGAGATTGGTCACCGCCACTTTCAATGGGCTATTGGCAAGGGGAAATACAGCACTGTAGTCATAGCCTGCCTCAAAGGAGAAGCTGGAAATAAATTCAGAGCTGTGCTGGTCAGTTTGTCAAGTGTCCTTACTTACAGGCACCTCTGGTTTCTCCAAATGCCATTTCTTCTTGMAGCTGAAGACAATGTCTGCCCTTAGCACTAACCCAGGCAGTGGGAAGAACA